TTTTAAAAGAATTAGTTTTATGGCAATCTTCTTGCATTGGTTCCATTTAATTATAAACAGCAGTTGTTCTAAAAATTAACATAAAGTATTAACGAATATTGTAAAATTAGTTCCAAGTATAAATAAAAAGTAAAAAAAAACAATATCAAATCTAAAAATTACATTATATTAAACCGCACGAAATAAAAGATTCTCCGTTGAAGTAAACGTTATCAACTTTAATTTATTTTCGATTAAAAAGGGATTAAAGTTTTGAAGGTATTCGTTAAAGTTTGTATTCAGAAATTAAATACAAGAAGTATTTAATTTCTTAATACAAACCTTTGTTTATTTAGATGTTTTGTTGAAAATACAATGATGAAAATTTTTACTATTAAAGGTAAAAAACTTATCATACGAAATGTGACACATTAAATAATCAAATAAATTAATCACGTGTAAAAGATTTACTTTATTAAGGTTTAGAGTTTCTTATTGACTTTATGTAAAAGTATATGATAAAAATATACATGTTTTAAATAATCCAACTAGTGATTGCAATATATGCCTTTAGTCGCGTGAAGACAAAAAAAGAGAATCAGTGAGTGAGAAAAAAAGCGGAAGTCTTTATGGTTTTAATACTAAATCACTAAATCAAATCAGTCTTGAAAGAAATAGAAACTAAACTCGCTGCTCAGTGGCGGATTTAGTATAGGGCGTGGGGGGGGGGGTGAGCTGCCCCCCACGCCTCCCTAGAACGGTCTAACGGCGCCCCCTAAAACAATTAAAATATATATATATATATATATATATATATATATATATATATATATATATATATATATATATATATATATATATATATATATATATATATATATATATATATATATATATATATATATATATATATAAGATTAAATTACTGAAGGCAACCCCGGTCGCCCCTATTTATTGACTTGCCCCCCCCCCCCCGCGACACTAAACCTCAATCCGCCACTGTCGCTGCTGCATTTTTTGATTTAATGTATAACTGGATACTGCAATAATATATTTTATAACTAGATGTCAAACTTGCGGGATTTTATTTTGATCTGCCATAACAAAAAAATTCATGAGACTTAATGACTTGAAAGTTATTGTTTTTAAGCCCGGAGTCCTGGAGTCCCGGAGTTCTTGCCGCTGTCACGTTAAATAAGTAGATCATTAAATTAGACAAAATGACGTTCTGCGCATGTGTTAGTTTACGGATACTTATTTAACGTAGTAAGTCACGTTAAATAAGTAGATCGTTAAATAAGTAGACAAATTGAACAATCAAGGTTTGTTAAGCCAGACGAATAAATTAAAAAAAAAACACACGTTAACCGAACTAAAAGCATTTACTTTGTCGTGCGAATCGTTACTATTTTATGGCACTTTTAGAGTGATAATTTACCACTTTTAAAAATATTTATCTCACGACATATATTCTAATCGTATTTCATACCTTAATAATATAGTATGACAAGTAACAAGGTTTTTTAAGGTCATTAATGATATCAAATAAAATAGTTATTTCACAAGGAAGTTTGTTTTAATCCTAAATAATTTAACTGTGCATTTTAGAAAAATGTTTCACGTTAAATTATTTATCTTTACCCCTTGAGCTTATCAATTGTAAAATTTGTAATTGCTACCTGATTCTACGCAGATTAAAAGTAACAAAAGTATTCTGATGTTACCACAGAAAAAAGAAGAGAATTTATTAATTCGTGTCAAGACTTTTTTTGTGTGTTAATTTACCTTCTCAAGGACGAAAAAGTTACCCCAGTCGTGGAGGCTGCTTTAGTTCAGGTTACAACCCTCTCACAACTCTTTAAATCCGAAACACAAACCATGATGAACAAGATCGCTACGCGGAGAAACAAATTGAACGCGGTAGTACCAGAGACGTAGTGGTGATCGGACTCAGAACTTCTCGATTATGAGGCGAGCGCTCTACCACTACACCACTACTGTACTACCGTTGAATAAAAACCTAGACAGGTATTATATGACAATTTTAGCGGTGTATGTATAGCACAATAATAATAAAATATGACCTAAACTTAGTTTACTATTTCTTACTATGTCAATGTTTTAAATAAAAACGACATTAAAGAAACGACACACTTTATGCTACACTAAAACTTTATTTTGAAAATAAGATCAAAATATCCTTACTCAATATAAAAAGCAAAATAAAGTAACATAGTTTTTAAGTTCTTTTAAAAAATATCAATTTGGTTGAAACTTGGGCATTTTTGGACAAAATTTTTGGAAGAATTTTTCCACATGGAATTACAAGCCTATATAGTATAGAAATATATTAAAATATAAGTATTATCATTAAATCGTAACGAATAAAAAAAACAGTAATAAAAGTACCTGCTTTCGTACCAGAAGAGTACTTAATAAATGCATTTATCAATATATGTCAATAAATTGATTTATAAAATGAACTCTAAATGTGTGCCAGAAGGATTTGAATTTATTAATCATATAAATGTTAAAAATGTTAAAACAGCCATGGTATCAACATGCCAGAATAGTCAATACTTTTACAATATTCTACAAAATAAAGAACAAGCAATAGTTGACCTAAATTAGCCGATTGTATAAATTTACACATCTATAAGGCATTTACAAAAATAAATTAAGTAATGAACATTTTAAATATTAACTAAAACATGCATAAACAATACCAACAATAAAAAAAAAAACATGAACAATAACAAACATAAAAAAACTAACAAAAAAATAAAAAAAATGTATTTACATATAATGATTGAATTTAAATATTCAATTAAGTCACAAAAACAAAAACAGCAGTAATAAAAGGATACATTCACAACAATTATATTACTAAAGGCACACCTTTTATGAAAGTATAACATAGTAACAAAAGGTAACATCTCTAATGTTCCATTCTCAATACATTTCAGGTTATGTTAGCTCATTTTATTACCTTTTTATATAATCAAACTTAGGTTGATACTGCTACACAAATATACTATTGCACCATCATACCGTCGCATTTCCTTTTAAGAAAAGATCACAATCATTTTTATGTACAACTTTATGCACTAACAATGGCGCATCATCTTTACTTGAACTATTAAAGAGTGAATCATAAAACTGAACACACTTTCAATGTGAAACAACATCAGGAGACATTACTTATAAACCCCTAATATAACTTTCTGAAAAGCCACTTGAATTAAAACAAGTTAAAATACAAAAAAACTCAGATATTTTAAACTTGGAAATCTAAATATTTTAGAAAACTGATATAAAAACACACTTTGTGCTATATCAATCAAAATGTCATCTGGCCAGCCAGATGAGTCTTTTGAAATCTCTAAGACCTTGTCTTTAGACTGCATTGAAAAACTTTAAAGAAAACTTAAGAAAAATTTAAACTTCGACAGTCCATTTTTCAATGATACTATCATTAATAAATAGCTTTTTTCAAAGCATTTTGTTAATTTTTTTAACTGTTAATACTATTACCAGTTTAAACTCTTAACCTTTTTCTCATTGATTGGATTGATGAAAATAAGCAGACTATATCAAATTATCTAAAATTTTATAATCTTTTGAAGAGTATCAAAAATCTATAAAAAAAAGTAGTTACATAAATTGTTATTTTTACAGTATATTTACTTTAACAATCAGTAATTTTAATAATACATTTTTTTCCAAGTTTTGTTAAAGCAAGAGGTCCAAAAAAGTCTAGGGGAAATTTGTGTAAAAATGGCAAAACCGATACAATCATATCTCTATACTACTTACTTTGTATAAGTATATTGACTTATACGAATAAAATTCCATCAAGTAGAAGGGTTTAAAAAGTAGTGGCCTTAGAACAATAAACTTTTTTTGGACTGTACCAAGGGTCACCTCATGAAAATTAGGTTCAAATCCATAATAAATTTACAGTTAATTTAATCTTAGACTGTTTTTAATAAATATTTTTAGTAATACTTAATTGCAACACTTAAATATACAACAAAATTAACTTTTAGGCAAAATTGACAAATAAGTCAATGCATAAAATGGAAGTCCCTAAACAACTGTAGGTTTTGAGATGCTGAGACATAGTACAAAATTAACTTCAGAAACATACAATATTATAAAATACGTATTTTATATTATTGTATGTTTCTGTAGTTAGTTTTGTACTATGTCTCAGCATCTCAAAACCTACAGTTGTTTAGGGACTTCCATTTTATGCATTGACTTATTTGTCAATTTTGCCTAAAAGTTAATTTTGTTGTATATTTAAGTGTTGCAATTAAGTATTACTAAAAATATTTATTAAAAACAGTCTAAGATTAAATTAACTGTAAATTTATTATGGATTTGAACCTAATTTTCATGAGGTGACCCTTGATACAGTCCAAAAAAAGTTTATTGTTCTAAGGCCACTACTTTTTAAACCCTTCTACTTGATGGAATTTTATTCGTATAAGTCAATATACTTATACAAAGTAAGTAGTATAGAGATATGATTGTATCGGTTTTGCCATTTTTACACAAACTTCCCCTAGACTTTTTTGGACCTCTTGCTTTAACAAAACTTGGAAAAAAATGTATTATTAAAATTACTGATTGTTAAAGTAAATATACTGTAAAAATAACAATTTATGTAACTACTTTATTTTATAGATTTTTGATACTCTTCAAAAGATTATAAAATTTTAGATAATTTGATATAGTCTGCTTATTTTCATCAATCCAATCAATGAGAAAAAGGTTAAGAGTTTAAACTGGTAATAGTATTAACAGTTAAAAAAATTAACAAAATGCTTTGAAAAAAGCTATTTATTAATGATAGTATCATTGAAAAATGGACTGTCGAAGTTTAAATTTTTCTAAAGTTTTCTTTAAAGTTTTTCAATGCAGTCTAAAGACAAGGTCTTAGAGATTTTAAGAGACTCATCTGGCTGGCCAGATGACATTTTGATTGATATAGCACAAAGTGTGTTTTTATATCAGTTTTCTAAAATATTTAGATTTCCAAGTTTAAAATATCTGAGTTTTTTTGTATTTTAACTTGTTTTAATTCAAGTGGCTTTTCAGAAAGTTATATTAGGGGTTTATAAGTAATGTCTCCTGATGTTGTTTCACATTGAAAGTGTGTTCAGTTTTATGATTCACTCTTTAATAGTTCAAGTAAAGATGATGCGCCATTGTTAGTGCATAAAGTTGTACATAAAAATGATTGTGATCTTTTCTTAAAAGGAAATGCGACGGTATGAT